GCGTGACCACCGGTATATTTTTTCACACCATGTTGTTAATTTTGTTAATCAAATCTTCTTATAATTATGGTTTAGGGACTAATTGCTTGAACAATGTGCAGGGGAGATGTTGGTAGGACCAGCAAAGGTTCTTCTGATGGATGAAATATCAACAGGGTTAGACAGTTCCACAACTTTTCAGATATGCAGATACACACGGCAATTGGTTCACATAATGGATGTAACCATGGTCATCTCTCTTCTGCAGCCCGCGCCGGAGACATTTGAGCTCTTCGATGACCTAATCCTGCTTTCGGAAGGACAGATTGTGTACCAAGGTCCATGCGAGAGTGTCCTCGAGTTCTTCGAACACGTGGGATTCAAGTGCCCAGAGAGGAAAGGAGTTGCCGATTTTTTGCAAGAGGTGACATCCAAGAAGGACCAAGAACAATATTGGTTAAAAAAAAGCCAGCCCTACAGATATATCTCGGTTCCTGAGTTCGTGGAGGCCTTCAGCTCTTTTAGGAGTGGCCAGCAACTTGCAGCTGATCTTGGGGTTCCTTACGACAAGTCCAGAGCTCATCCGGCTGCATTGGTCACAGATAAGTATGGCATTTCAAACTGGGAATTGTTCAAGGCATGTTTTTCGAGGGAGTGGCTGCTAATGAAGCGCAATTCGTTTGTGTACATATTCAAGACCACGCAGATTGCAATCATGTCTTTGATTGCCTTCACTGTGTTCCTTAGAACAGAAATGCCTGTGGGCACAATACAAAATGGAGGAAAATTTTTTGGAGCGTTGTTCTTCAGTCTGATTAATGTGATGTTGAATGGTATGGCGGAACTGGGAATGACTGTTTTCAGACTTCCTGTTTTTTTTAAGCAGAGGGATTTCTTGTTTTATCCTGCGTGGGCTTTCGGGTTACCAATTTGGGTCCTCAGGATCCCACTTTCGTTCGTGGAATCAGGGATTTGGATCATTCTTACCTATTACACCATTGGATTTGCTCCATCTGCTAGCAGGTAAATAGTAGTGTTCACATTTTTCAGTTTCCATCTTATAAATTTATATCCTTCCGGAACACCAACTCACACGATTTTTTTTTCACTGCTCCAGATTTTTCAAACAGTTCTTGGCATTCTTTGGCATACATCAGATGGCTCTGTCCCTCTTTCGGTTTATTGCTGCACTTGGAAGAACACAAGTTGTTGCTAGCACGCTCGGTACCTTTACCTTGCTAATGGCATTTGTCCTGGGAGGGTTTATTGTTGCCAAAAGTAAGTAATCGATCTTATATCTGACCTTATCGTGTTAATGTAATTAAACCAAGCTAACGCATACTTAAATTTGTTCGAAGTTTCTTGAAAATTTCAAATTATTTATGATTGTTCACTTTCTAAGCTATCCTTCTTATCTTATGAATGCAGATGACCTTGAGCCTTGGATGCTATGGGGCTACTACATTTCTCCCATGATGTATGGACAGAATGCGATCGTCATGAATGAATTCCTTGACAAAAGATGGAGCGCGGTAAGATCTCTCTGTGGTTTGATTGTCTTCAGTTCAAGATTTTTCGTTCCATAAAAACGCGTTCATCTAATCTATTCTCATCTTCGTTTGCAGCCAAATACAGATCCAAGAATTAACGCAACTACGGTCGGGAAAGTCCTTCTCAAGTCTAGAGGATTCTTCACAGATGAATACTGGTTTTGGATATGTATTGGAGCACTATTTGGTTTTTCTCTTCTCTTCAACATCTTGTTCATTGCAGCATTGACTTTTCTGAACCGTAAGTTCATCTCACTTTGAAGCTTTACTCTCTTTTGTTAACGGAAATGAAGTTCCGGAGCTGACACACCCTCCTTTTCCTTTTCGGGGAACCAACATCAGCTCTCGGGGATGCGAAAGCTGTCATAGCTGATGATGAAAGTGAAGGAAAGAGAAGCAAGTCGTTAAGTGAAGAAATGACAGCAAAAAGTTCTTCAGAAATTGCTGGTGCTTCGGATCATGCACCAAAGAAAGGAATGGTTTTGCCCTTCCAACCCCTTTCGCTTGCGTTTAACCATGTGAACTACTTTGTGGATATGCCCCCTGTAAGTCGTTCATTTCAGACATTTTATTCCTGATGCTTCACATACTCATTTCGATCAAGAAATATACTCGTTTTGGTTACTGATTCCAGGAAATGAAGACTCATGGAGTTGAAGAAGATCGCCTTCAATTGCTACGAGATGTCAGTGGTGCTTTTAGACCGGGAATATTGACAGCGCTTGTAGGAGTTAGTGGTGCTGGAAAGACAACTCTTATGGACGTCCTGGCAGGTAGAAAGACTGGTGGATATATCGAAGGAACCATTAACATATCTGGTTATCCAAAGAACCAAGAAACATTTGCTCGTGTCAGCGGTTATTGTGAACAGAATGACATCCATTCCCCACATGTTACTGTCTATGAATCTCTCCTGTATTCAGCCTGGCTCCGTCTTGCTTCTGATGTCAGTACACAAACACGAAAGGTATGTTGCACTGGAATCTTTCTTATCTAGACTTTAAATCGTATTTTCAATTTAATCTTGAAATCTTATTTTCAATCATCTTTTTAATGGTGATACAGATGTTTGTTGAAGAAGTCATGGATTTGGTTGAGCTTAATCCAATAAGAAATTCTCTCGTTGGCCTCCCGGGACTAGATGGACTTTCAACAGAACAACGGAAGAGACTAACCATAGCTGTGGAGCTGGTCGCTGACCCCTCTATCATTTTCATGGATGAACCGACATCTGGTCTCGATGCCAGGGCTGCTGCTATCGTCATGCGTACTGTGAGAAACACGGTGGACACAGGCAGAACTGTTGTCTGCACAATTCACCAGCCAAGCATAGATATTTTTGAATCTTTCGATGAGTTACTCTTGATGAAACGTGGAGGGCAAGTCATTTATGCTGGACCCCTCAGCCGCCACTCTCACAAGCTTGTGGAATATTTTGAAGTGAGTTTTCCTTTCACTTCTTATTTCTTGTACGTCCTTCACTGGTAATTTTAGAGAAGTGATTTCCGCATGAGCCCTGTTTATTTCTCGTCTTACATTGAATAAATCAAAGGAGAATCAGGTGACAAAATAAACGAGTTGTGCAGAAGAAGAAAATGCATGTGTGGAAGTCATTTCCTGTGATTTTAATGCAGTTTGGACTCATATCTTTAACCTCTACAGGCCATCCCGGGTGTGCCCAAGATCAAGGATGGCTACAATCCTGCTACATGGATGCTTGAGGTCACTGCTCCTGCAGTTGAGACTCAACTTGATGTGGACTTTGCAGACATTTACCAAAACTCCTCGCTTTACCAGTAAGTGTCGTAATATCTTTCTCGTGTAAGCTATGATTTCTAGTTTTATGATTCTCACTCTTCCTCTCGATGTTCTTTTAGGAGGAACCAGGAGCTTATCAAAGAGCTTAGTACACCGGCTCCCGGGTCCAAAGATCTCTACTTTCCAACCAAATACTCTCAACCTTTCCCGGTTCAGTGCAAAGCTTGTTTCTGGAAAATGCATTGGTCTTATTGGAGAAATCCTCAGTACAATGCCATCCGATTCTTTATGACCATTGTCATCGGTGTCTTATTCGGTCTTATCTTCTGGCAGAAGGGACAGCAGACGTAAGCTCTGGTTTTTTAACTGCAAATTTGACTAAATCATGTTATTCTCTATTTATCATGAATGAAAATTTTCTTGTAACAGAGCACAACAGCAAGATCTAATGAACCTTTTGGGAGCTATGTATGCTGCTGTGCTTTTCCTTGGAACCACGAATGCTTCTGTGGTCCGATTTGTTGTCGCCATTGAAAGAACAGTTTTCTACCGCGAAAGAGCTGCCGGAATGTATTCTGAACTGCCTTATGCATTTGCTCAGGTGATGTATAAATTTGACAAATTGTTAGAGACCTTTTGGTATACATCATATTACTTGATTGACAAGTTATCCCCCCTGTTTTTTGCAGGTGGCTATAGAGACAATCTATGTTGCAATCCAAACATTTATATATACACTTCTTCTCTTCTCCATGATTGGATTCAAGTGGAAAGTCGAAAAATTCATTTGGTTCTACTACTATATCCTAATGTGCTTCATCTACTTCACGATGTACGGTATGATGGTGGTTGCACTGACTCCGGGCCACCAGATTGCTGTCATTGTCATGCCCTTCTTCCTCAGTTTCTGGAACTTGTTTTCCGGCTTCCTCATTCCAAGACCGGTACGTCATATCAAAATTAAGGGCCTATTTGAGATTGTTTCTAGAAGAGATAAAAGCGGTTTCTGACTATCAAACATTGTTCTAACTGCATTTGGTAGAAAACCTTAGCTTCTAGCTCATAGAAGCGTTTTCTGGAGAAGCACTTCTAACAAAACAGTATGCAAGTAGAAATGCTTCTTACGAAAACAATCCCAAACTAGCCCTAAATATGCGGTCGATGCACATTGCTTTCATTTAACCTCACTACATGAAAGTCCATAGTTCAAAAATTAACCTTGAATTTCTATTGTGTTTGCAGCAAATACCAATCTGGTGGAGGTGGTACTACTGGGCTTCCCCTGTGGCCTGGACACTTTATGGCCTTGTGACATCCCAAGTGGGTGACAAGAATGCTGACCTTATCCTGCCTGGATATGGCACCATGCCATTGAAGAAGTTCCTGAAAGATGACTTTGGTTTTGAGTATGACTTCCTTCCGGCCGTCGCCGCCGCACACGTCGGCTGGGTTCTTCTTTTCTTCTTTGTGTTTGCCTATGGCATCAAGTTCCTCAACTTCCAAAGGAGATAGAGAAAGAACCAACTTTCAATACTACTGCAAATCATATTAGAAGGTCTTGGGGAGAGTATTAGTTTTTGTAATTTGTGTTAGTTTCTAGTTTCTAGTGTTAGTGTTTAATTAGGGTATAACGGAAAGACCAGTGGCTGCAGTTGTGCTCCCCTCTATGAAAATAGTCCGCGATGCAGATGAGTTGACAAACTAGTTTCAAATATGGGGTACATAATTACATTGTCACATGCTATACTCATAATAAAGTATCTATTTGATAGCAAAAGTTGGTAAAAGCGTATAATGAACGGATGAACTGGATCCTATGAGCTAGTGTAGAACCGTAGAGCTGATAAATTGTTCAAGTGCATCAATTGTAATGATATAATTTTTTTGAAGTTTTTGCCTGAACGATTCGTGTTGTCTGTCTTTTCTGCACATGTCAAGCTTGTAAACTAGAAACTTTGTTGCTTAAATAGCACTGAAATTTCTGAACAGATTTGGTTGTTGCATCAAGTTATTGTCTTGTGTATTAGAAATTATAGAGCGGTTGGAAGTCCGCTCGAGAATTCAGGGAATTTAACGGGCGAACGTGATTCGGTCAAAAGGCTATGTATATGTGAGGATTGTTCCTTTCATATACACCACGACACAATTGAGCAGAGTTGCAGTCCATTTTTTGTCGTCCAAGTTTAATGCAGCAAAAGGGACGGAGTACAAAGGGTCGATTTATGATGCTGGGCCCACATTTGAATCACATGGGGTCCCACATGGTTCAGCTGGTATGTGTTTCAATTTTGCTGTATTTGTGTGTGAGATTCATGGATTTTTTGTTTGCTGATTTGGGATTTTTGTTTTGGATTGTTTGTTGATTTGATCCATTTTGTTAAGTTCTTTTGTCGTTTGGGACTGTTTACGTAGCAAACAATTCTGATGAAAAGCGCTTCTGCTAAATGTAAAATCAAGTAGTTATGGAAAAGCACTCGGAATTGCTTCAGCATCTAGCAGCTGCTTCTCAAAGCGCATCTATGAGTCAAAATTGCTTTTAAATTTTTCTGCCAGAATGTAGACAAAAACTTTTGGTTGTAAGAATGCACCCTTCCACAAGCAATCCCAAACAGGCCTAAAAATCATATGCTTTCCCGTTCTGTGCAATAGAAATTGACAAATGCTAAACTTTGTTAATTTATGAATGTACCATTGTGTTATTGACTTATTAGTATTTGCAAACGTGGGTTATGGCAGTTTTCTAGGGCAATGTTCCCACCCCTTGCACTCAAACGCAAATCCCCCTTCCCATAGTTTAGAATAGCTTAGAATATGGTCTTTGTCAAAAAGAAACTTGTTAGTATTCAGTGATTTGGTCACCTAGTGTCATATACTTACAAAGTCTATATACTCGGACTGGTCCGTGTGCTTTATTTGTAAATTCAATGTTGTAGCTTTGTTCTGTAGTTTTCTGTGTTGAAAGAATGATTGTTATGGGCAGATTTGGTTAAGGCTGTTCCCGACAAACACAAGAAGTTTCTTGCTGATATTGTTTGGGTCCATGAAGAGGTGAGGCCTGTTCTATTTCCTATCTTCTTCTATTTTTGGATGAACACTAGAGCCGGTGTGTAAAATTTACTAAAATGTGAGAAAAAACCTTTAAATTTCAATTGGTTCAATTTCCCATTCTTTTTGTGTGTGCTGGAGCGGAATGCAGTAGTTGAGAACTGTAGGACCAAATGCTGAAGCTTAGTCGGTCTTCTTGATGTGCCTTTTGTCCAGGATAATGTCTGCGTAGAGACTGCAGATGGGACCAAACACTGTAGATTGATTGCTGTGCATGCTGGTTTAGAGAAAGATAAAGATGCCAAGCAGCAGTCGGCGTTTTTGAAAGCCAAAGACACCCGGGTGCCTAAGATAGAGGCTCTGAGTGGGAGGAAAAATGTATGGGATATACCAAAGGTAATGGCTTTCCTCCTCTTAATATCAGCAATCCTTTCTACTGAAACGTTCGTTGTTTATTGTCCGATGATTTTTGTATTTCTTATGTTCGTTAGTTCTCGATAAAGACTTCATCTTTTGTGGGTTAACTGAGATTTGATATACAACATACAATGAAATGCAACTGAAATCAATAGATATTTGGTGTTGTGGTCCTGATAGGAACTGACAGAGAAACCAACTGTTGTCGTAAGTGGTCATCACGCGAAACTGAACATTGAAGGCCTCAGACTGATCATTGATGAAGGTGGTGGTATGGCGGAAAGACCAGTGGTTGCAGTTGTGCTCCCCTCTATGAAAATAGTCCGCGATACAGATGCGTTGACAAACTAGTTTCAAATCTGGGGTACATACTTACATTGTCATATACTATACTCATAATAAAGTATCTATTTGATAGCAAAATTTGGTAAAAGCGTATAATCAACGGATGAATTGGATCCTAATGAGCTAGTGTAGAACCGTAGAGCTGATAAATTGTTCAAGTGCATCAATTGTAACGATATAATTTGTTTGAAGTTCTTTTCTGCACATGTCAAGCTTGTAAACTAGAAACTTTGTTGCTTAAATAGCACTGAAATTCCCGAAAAGATTTGGTTGTTGCATCAAGCTATTGTCTTGTATATTAGAAATTATAGAGCGGTTGGAAGTCCGCTCGAGAATCCAGGGAATTTAACGGGCGAACGTGATTCGGTCAAAAGGCTATGTATATGTGAGGATTGTTCCTTTCATATACACCACGACACAATTGAGCAGAGTTGCAGTCCATTTTTGTACTTGAACTGAAAACAGGAGTAGGATTCTCTCATTTCTTCTCACACTTTGTTTTTTTATCTTATTGTTTCTATAAAAAAATTAATATAAAATATTGATATAATTTAACCATAACCGTTCAAGTAGAAAAAGAGAAAATGAAAATAGATTAGGAGGAGAGAGAATCGTCCTAGTTGAAAACAAAGGCCAACAGAGTGACTTTTGTTAGAGAGAGAAAGAGGAGAGAGAGAGAGAGGAGACATAGAGTCACGTAAAGGCTATAAAAGGGCCGGACGGAAAGAGATCATGTATGTGCTGTACTTTGCGTTTCGGGAAATTACTTTATCACCAGACCCACTAATGAAAAAAAAAAAAAAAAAAACAGGAGTTATTTGATAAAGCATGCCATGTGATGTACGGGAGCAAAATAGATTGGTGATGACGTCGGGTTAAGCATGTGAGAACAAAATTTCAAATCATATATTGGATAAGGAATCTAATGTTCATAGATCGTTCGCATCATTTAATCACTATCACAGTTTTAGAACACAAGTAATGTAGATCTAGCAAATTTAACATCTCAATCTTTCACCCATAGATCCAAAAGAGGCAGCATACCAAAAAGAAAATTAAAATCAAGCAACTCCCCCCCCCCCCAAAGAGCAATCAAACTAGCAAACTCGCCTAAAGAGAGAAATCAAAACCAAATTCCAAGACAATTCCTGGAAATTATTAGACATTAACAAAATACAAGGTTTAATTAATGTCACCGCTGCACATTCTCCGGACATCCAAGTGCCATATACCCTTTAAACCCTTAGTAGGAACACATAAAAGATTCGTCACTACAAAAAGGATAGGGGTGTGATATCCACACACCCCTTTTTACTTCTCTCACATCTTTTTAATTTTCGGCTATCGGATAAGATGAATTAAAAAAGATCAAATGACATAAATTTACAAGGAGTGTAAGAAAAGTAAAAAGGGGTATGGATAGCACACCCCAAAGGATAATGGTAACTCCACCATGGTTTAGGCTAAACCCAATCCCGTCGCAATCCGACATCTTCCATGGCTTCCGGCTTCAATCCTAAATCAAGAGTGATAATTGTATTCAACTTACTGTGTGCATGGACCAAAAGACTATGACTATGTTATAACAATTACAGCATTTCACGATGATAATTTAACTAAGAATTGAATTATTAGATACCAATAAAAATGTAACCCATGTGAAAATAACAAAAATATTCACCTAAAAGTAGCATCACAAAAGAAACCTTTTATTTGGGTTCTATGACTATAGAAAGGTGATTTATTTGATTGGATTCGGATATAAAATTTCACGAAAGTATATCCCCTTTCACCCCCGACAGCCTTTCGTTTCTCATCCTCCCCCAACAGTCCAACGTACATCCCCTCATTATTTTATTATTTTAATTTTTAATTCCCAAAAAAATAAAAATATCAAAAATAAAAAAAATTAAATAAATAAAGTTCCAACCACGATGGACGATCGAAAATACGGGAGGAGAAGCATACTGGGTCCACCCACCCATCCCGACGCAACTCGCAACGGCACACGTGGCATCGGGCGCCATAATAATCAACCCACACAAAAAACTCTAGTCACACTGGCACTCCGATATCTGTGTCGCTTCACTCAACTCACGTTTCTCCCGGGAGGCGAGCTTCCGGACTCCTCCGCAAAACGAAACGTCCTTCGAGATCGATCGATCGATCGATCGATCCTTCTCGCGCGCTTACATCGATCTGATAACGAAGGGAGGAAGGAGAAATGGTCTCGACTCTCTCGGGGATTCGCTTCCCTCTTCTGCCTTCTGCCTACACCTCGCATGCCAGTTTTATTGGCGATCGGAGGACCTCCGGCGGCCTCTCTCTCTTCCTCTCCAACACCTCCTTCTCTCGTATTCCCTCTCCCTTTCTCTCTCTATCTCTCTCTCTCTCTCTCTCTCTCTCTCTCTCTCTCTCTCTTCTTTTGTTCGTTTTTCGCTTTGGTTTCGAAAAATTGATATTCGAGTTCTATTTCTGTGTTTCAATCGGCTGCTTCGATTTTCTGTTAATTTTTCCGTAATTAATTATTATGGTATATTTTTTAATTTTAGTAAATTTGAAGTTATGCGTGGATAAGATCGGTGGTTAGTGGTCAGTGTCTTGGAAATGGAGCTTACGTAGATATGCCGTGAGCTTTTTTGGAAGCTTGGAACAGTAATGTTGTGCTTGCTTGCTATGGCTGCTAGTTTTGAATTTAATTTTTGTTGAAAAGAATTGAAATTTTTGAAAAAAGGTCATTGTTTTATCATGATTGCGTACTTGTTATTCGATGTTTTGTTGTGTGGGTGTTAAGCTAAATTGATGCTTGTTTGTAGGGAAGATCTTTGCTGGAAAGTCTTCGTATGATTCTGATTTGCCGTCTTTAGCAGTTGCTGCTTCGAAGAAAATTCTTGTTCCGGACAGCCAGAGTGATGGCTCTTCGTCTTTGACGGAGCAATTGGGAGCTACGAGTACAGTTTCAGAGGATCCTCAGGTTTATGATACCCATCTATGTGCATACCAGTTATGTTTTATGCCTTCAATTTCTGTGTGACATCTTGGGAATAATTTCTTGTATAATTTTTGTTTAGGTGATTGAGGATGTAGATAATGTAGTAATGGAAGATGAAGAGAAGCTTGAGGATGTCCCTTCATTAGTTGTGGACAATGTTGATGATGCTGAAGCCAAGGTTGAGGACGTACCTCGTCCCTTAGAAGTTACAGCAAGTACTGCTACAGGCAAAGCTAAGGGAAAGACAATTCCACCGCCTGGCAAGGGGCAAAAGATATATGAGATAGATCCACTTTTGGTGGGTCACCGTGATCATCTTGATTACCGGTATGATGCCCTTCCATATTTTATTTATAATAATAATAATGCATATACAAGTATGGATGTTTGCCTAAAATTGAAAAAAGATCAAATAAATTGATTAACGTTGGTACCCCTTTCGAGTAAAAGGGTTCATGGCTGCTAGCTGGTTGGTGTTGCAAATGCGAGATTCTTTTTGCTCCTTTTGTGCATTGAATTATGTTTCGTTCTTTTTCCTTTTTCCAGTTACAAATCCTTCATGCTTGCTTATATCCAAATTAGGTTAATAAGGCTTTAAGTGATTTCGTTGTGCTATGGTCAGTTATGGACAATACAAAAGGCTGCGTGAGCAGATTGACAAGTGCGAAGGCGGTTTAGAGGTGTTTTCTCGTGGCTATGAGAAGTTTGGTTTCACACGCAGGTATTACTTTTTGCTTTTATCTGGTGGAGTCCAATCATTTTCCGTGTTTTTTTACTAGTTTACAACATTGAATACGTACAAGAACATTTTTGGTTGCTTTTTTTTTTTTTTTTTTACTATTGAACAGAACTTAATAGGTAAATATGCTAATAAGGAGGTGTATAAGGTCGGGTAGAGGAGACGAGAAAAAAGCTTTGCAATTTGACTGTTTCGAACTGCATCTACTGGTGTTATACTAAATATTGTGTTACCATTGGCGATTTCACTCGTTATAATTCTTCTAATATAGTCAAAATATGCTCTCGTCCACGTTTCTCTGGCCGTGCCCTTTACTACCTTGTTTGGTAATTATTGTCCTTGTTTACGTCTTTGTATTTATTCCGCGGGTAATAGCTTTCGTTGTTTTTGCTTTTAGGGTTCCTTTCAATTTTCATAATAATTTCCGTAGTTTTTGGTTTAAAACCCCTATATTATTATTGGCAATCTTTAATGCTCATTATTATCTCTACTGGTTTTTCAGTGCGGAAGGTATCACTTATAGGGAGTGGGCTCCTGGAGCAAAGGTTCGTTTGCCTTGTTTGGTGTTTCAAGAATTTTACTTTTTACCGTTAGTTATTCTCTGTATAAGGGTGACTTATTGAGATCAACAATTCTAGACACAGTGTGCCTACTAAGATCCTTTCCTGCTTATTTTGTTGTACTCAGTATCTTGTTATTTGATGGAAGGTTTTATTTGACTAATTTAGGTACCTTATTAAGTTTGGTCTCATGGTTGCCTTTTTTTTCGTTGGCTTTTTCAGTCAGCATCACTGATTGGAGATTTCAACAATTGGAACACAAATGCAGATGTGATGACTCGGGTATGTTTTTGGAACTTTAGCAGTGGTAATGCCAAGATGTGAATAAATGAATTACATCAAGCCACATGATTACTGTTTTTTACAACAACATTGCTCATGTACCATATCTGAACAGAATGAATTTGGAGTCTGGGAGATCTTTTTGCCAAACAATGCAGATGGCTCACCTTCGATTCCACATGGTTCTCGAGTGAAGGTAATATTTATTGTGGATAATTGTAAGTCTGGTTTTTCTGTCTTTTTCTCTATTATTGTAATACTTCATAATCCAGCAAAGAAAAAGAAGACTTATTTTTTCCTAAGTAATCCTTTACTAATTTGACCATTTACTTGTCCCTAGTGAAAATCTCAAAAGGGAGTTTGGTTATACACATTCTTTTCTAATTTGTTCTCTTCTAGAAATTTATGTGTAGAATGAGACAATAGTTACAAGGCATGCTACAATTACAAGTTTTGCCATGCAATAAATTTGTCTAATTCATTCAGTATGTTATGTGAAATTGCAGATCCGTATGGATACTCCTTCAGGCATCAAAGACTCGATTCCTGCTTGGATCAAGTTTTCTGTGCAGGCTCCAGGTGAAATCCCATACAATGGCATATACTATGATCCACCAGAAGAGGTATGTTCTTCGAAAAAAAAATTAAATTATGCTTTATACTGGTAGGGATTCCAAGGGCTCTGGGTAAAAGAAAGGTTGCGGTAAGATAGAACTTAAACCATAGGATTGAATCAAAGTTGGGCAAACCTTTGTGATGCCCAAGTGATTAATGATTCCTAGGATTCTTATACTGATTCATTGATTTATGAATAGGTTACAGTTGCATTAAAATTATGAAGTAGTTAAGAGAGATCTGCTTCATTTACATGTTCATTTTTCGTATTACTGTTCCACTCTTCAACGGGCTAATTATACTCGCATACACTTCTTTTCAGGAAAAGTATGTATTTCAACATTCTCAGCCGAGGAGACCAAAATCACTTCGCATTTATGAGGCACATGTTGGAATGAGTAGCCCGGTGTGCATTGTTAACCTTCTAGCTTATGTTGCAAATTATTATGTTCTTGTACTTTTTTAAAATTCTTCTTTTTAGTAAGCCTCACTTTAGGCCAACACTTGGAGATGTGCTGTAGATCAAAATCTGCTTTTTAAATTTCTATATTTCAGCATCAAGTGGCTTTATTTATTTATTTCTTTTTGTACTTTAAAATTATCCACTTGAAATGATCTAGAGTTCAAGGAGATTACTGTGCCACAGAGCTGTCATAGACTCTTCTTCCTTTTGATTTCCTATCATTTATTAAATTTCTACCCTCACAGTACTATTAACTTTGAGTTGCAGGAGGGCAAAATTAACTCATATGCTGAATTCAGAGATGATGTGCTTCCACGCATTAAGAAGCTTGGTTACAATGCTGTTCAGCTTATGGCTATTCAAGAGCACTCCTACTATGCTAGCTTTGGGTATTGTTCTATTAACATATGCTCCAACTGTATCTATAGAGTTTTATCTTTCAGGAAGATGTATTTCTGTTGAAACAAATGTATTGGTAGGCAGTGCTACATGTGGTACTTGTTTGTGAGCGGTTGACATTCTTTAAAAATACTGAAATTTTCTATTTCTGTGGTGCAGGTACCATGTCACCAATTTTTTTGCACCTAGCAGCCGCTGTGGAACCCCTGACGATCTGAAGTCTCTGATAGATAAAGCTCACGAGCTTGGTCTGCTTGTACTTATGGATATTGTTCACAGGTAATAACTAATTGTTGAGAGCAGATAAGACATAAGTGTATGGACGCATCTATGGGTTAGTCAAATTCAACATTTGACATGCCTTTTTCTTTTAGTTGGTTATAGATTTGTACATGTCAACAATATGACAGATTTGTTTTTGTTTTCTTTTTCATTTTGCATGTATTTGTTGTGGTCAGGTCTCCTTTCTTTCTGTAACTAAATACTGATAGGACAAACAGCTTATCTGCAGTTGAGGTTACACCATTACAGTGATGGCTATATAAGCTTATCCCAACCTCCCTGTGGTTGACTATGAAAGTCATGGGGCTTAACGGAAAATACTGATTATCTTTCCATAAATTACTTCTTATATTCATCATACTAACTTTAGTCTGCTTATTTTTATTGGACTTGATGATATCAAATTCTTCTTTAACTCTCTATGTTATTCAAATATTTTGCATGAATCATACTCTTGCACCTAATATTACATGTTAATTACTCTGAACTTATTCTAAATGTCTGACTGCTAATATGTAACACTACAGCCATGCATCGAATAACACGTTGGACGGGTTGAACATGTTTGATGGAACCGATAGTCATTATTTCCACTCTGGGTCTCGAGGATATCATTGGATGTGGGATTCCCGCTTGTTTAATTATGGAAGCTGGGAGGTATGTGCTTTCGTGCATTCTTTCTTTAAATAATAGTGCACTGTGAGAAATTTGGCCTTAATCTTTTGTTCATCCTATGTTTATGAGGTACTGAATTTAACTTTCCATGTAGGTTTTGAGGTATCTTCTTTCCAATGCAAGGTGGTGGCTGGAAGAATACAAGTTCGATGGGTTCAGATTTGATGGTGTCACTTCAATGATGTACACTCACCATGGATTGGAGGTACCATTTTAGTTTTCACTGAAGTTTTAAGTTTCAATGGAATAGTAATTATTCCTACAAATTTTGATGGAAAACTTCCATGATTATTTATCCTCAGCACATTGACCGAAAATAAAATCTATTGTCAGCATAATTTTATATTGATTCTGATGTCCAATATAGTCTCGGTATTCCTATTGGTACCTCTGTTGCTGCTACTACTATTCGAGTTTGGTTTTATTTTTTCCATTGACAGGTTCTTATATTTATGTGTTTGTTGGTTGAGCTTGCTGTAGGTAGCATTTACTGGAAATTACAGTGAGTACTTTGGATTAGCAACAGATGTAGATGCTGTGACTTACCTGATGCTGGTTAACGATCTGATTCATGGGCTTTACCCTGAAGCTGTTACCGTTGGTGAAGATGTATGTTATCTATTCCCTTTCATAAGTAATGTTGAGCATCCTTTGTAGCAATTATCTCCTGAGTATTAGATTTAGATTTCATAGTGCACTGAACTGAAATAACCTGTTTGCTAGGTTTGGTAGCTTGAAATAAGAAAATTAAAATATTTCCACTTAGTGGGAAAAGGCTTTGTTGTTGTTGTTGTTATATAAGTTCTTGGAACTTTTTGTATGTTTTTCTATTTTCTCTCATTTCCCCTGATCATTAAGACATGGAAATTCATGTAGTTTTACCACTATTTCTATTCAAACGAGCATTTAATTCAGCGTGTATTGAGTTGATAACATTTAATATTTCTCATTAGAAAAGAAAATTACACCCAGATTTGAATTTCAAACGAAATTGACCTTGCTTGAGGAAGGTTTTGTAGAGGAGCTTATTGTTATGTATAAAAACAATAGCCATAAACATTTCCAGTTTTGTATCGTCGCTCGTTAGCTGATTAACAAGTCAAATTTATCTTATTCTGTTCAATTCGTTTAAAATATTAATGATGGAAATGTCACTTTTATAGATTGTTATATTGATTATGAATATTTCTATTATTTCAGGTTAGTGGAATGCCAACTTTCTGTATTGCTGTTAACGATGGTGGTGTTGGATTTGATTATCGCCTGCAAATGGCTATTGCTGATAAATGGATTGAGCTCCTTAAGTAAGTTGTTACGAAAATCTCTCTGATCCATTTTTGAAGTTAGACGGGTCCTGTATCTCTGATGGAGGTGGCATTTGTGAATAAAACCAATCAGCTTTTGCTGACTTATTATCGCACGAAATTTGATGTAGGAAAATGGATGAAGAGTGGAAAATGGGTGATATTGTTTTCACACTCACCAACAGAAGGTGGCGGGAGAACTGTGTTGCTTATGCCGAAAGTCATGACCAAGCTCTTGTTGGTGACAAAACAATTGCATTTTGGCTGATGGACAAGGTCATAAAAGTTTTCCTTGCATTTTTCATATTACGTAACTTGAAGGATATGTATACTTTTGTTTCTTGTATTAGAGTTATCTGTCTAAATCTATTTTTCTCTCAGGATATGTATGATTTCATGGCTTTGGACAGACCATCAACTCCCCGTATAGATCGTGGAATAGCATTACATAAAATGATTAGGCTTATTACTATGGGATTAGGCGGAGAAGGTTATCTGAATTTCATGGGAAATGAATTTGGCCATCCTGGTAAACTTAGTCCAAAACGTTATACTGTATATCATCATTCTGTCAAGCTGGCACTCATTTCGGGTTTTTGTTTTCCGTTCAGAGTGGATTGATTTTCCAAGAGGTGTTCAACATCTTCCAAATGGTAAAATAGTTCCTGGGAATAATAACAGTTTTGACAAATGCCGACGTAGATTTGATCTTGTAAGTTCTTTTAAATCCACATGTTCATTGCTATATACATAAGAGCATGCCTATTAGCGTAACAAGAATTTATGTTTAGTTTGGGTGGTGGTAATTGATGCAATGCATAATATGTGGAGGCAAGGTAATATATAGGCTAGTCAAGGATGACCTTGGAACCAGAGGGCACTTTAAACTATTCCCAAGAGATTTTATAGTTGCGCTGAAAAACTGAAGAAGAGGATAACATAATAATACAAAGCAACAGCTAATTGTAAAGGAAGTACAAGTTAGTAACCTAATAGCATATTTGTGTTACTAACCGAATATGTTTGACCTTGACATTGCTATCAGCCTATCACTTGCAAATTACTAACCGAATAGCATCCCCCTGTTGTGTTGTCCCTGAATGTTTATGTTGCACATGAAGTTCTTGAACTACTATTTTCTTATCACAGAACTTCGCATATCCATTTTCATATTCCGGATTCTTTGTTTAAGGGTAATTGAACTTGCAGCAGATAATTGTGCATAACTTTCGTGGCCTCTGATTGCATTGTGTGTTTTACGAAATTTGTTGGTTATGCATTGCCAGGGGGATGCAGAGTATCTAAGATATCACGGGATGCAAGAATTTGATCGAGCAATGCAACATCTCGAAGAAACCTATGGTGTAAGTTTACTATAACATCTACGTGTGCCAGTTACTTAGGGCATAGGTTATGCCACTTGTTCTTTGTTAAATTATAGTATGAAAAATTGGTCAACTGTTGATGCAGTTCATGACTTCTGAGCACCAATATATATCACGGAAGGATGAAAGAGACAGAATTATCGTCTTTGAAAGGGGAGACCTGGTTTTTGTCTTCAATTTTCATTGGAGTAAAAGCTATTCAGACTACCGAATTGGCTGCTTAAAGCCAGGAAAGTACAAGGTGTTTCCTCTACAAAGTTCTATGAAACCCTCGTAGTTAGCTTGCCAAATACACTAGTTTCTTTCCACGCTCTCACATTTTCCGTCTAGAATTGATCTTTTTTGGCCAAGCGCATGTCATAGAACTCCTTTTCGCTTATTCGTTTCATATAATAATGCCGCGTTCCTCCTTCCAGATTGTCTTGGATTCAGATGAAAAGCTATTTGGGGGCTTCGATAGGCTTGATCACAGTGCTGAGTACTTCACGACTGTAAGATATTTTTCCTTTGAACATCTTTTAGTGCTATTGTATGCAGACTTCGTGTGAGTATTTCACGGCTGTTAAATATTACTACATCTCGTTGTGATCTGCAGGATGGGTGGTTCGATGACCGGCCTCATTCCTTCCTCCTCTATGCACCTTGTAGAACAGCTGTGGTCTACGCTCTCGTAGAGGGACCTAAAAAAGGCTGAAAACGTCTGCATCTTGCTGCGATCCTAAAACAGACGCAATGTACATTAGCTAATAAAGCGCCGTCCCTGTGGAATTACGCTGCCACCTTCGGCAGTTCTGCTACGCCAAAGTCGGAAGAACAAGATTAACAAAGTAAAGGCAGAAGCTAAACTGCTAAAGGTGAGGGAGTTTATGCAGAGTTTAGGAGACCAGTCTCTACTATAAGCCTATCAAAAAGTAGACCAATATATGGCAGTTTGAGACAATTACTTCTGTAATTATTTTTCCAAGCTAGAGATTTTCTAATGTACATAGATAGTATGTAGCAGAGAATATGGTGTTGCATTTTAGGCTTCTCGTTTTACCCCCTTGAAACTTGTTTTGTCTCACTTTGGTACCCCAGTCTTAGTTCACCCAATTTTCATCAATTCCGCCAAATAGGCCTTAAATTAATGGATAGTAAAGAAATTAACTGTCGACTAAACTCAACGATTGGATTTGCAATCCTAAATTCCTTTCTCCTCTTCCACTTTATCTTAATTTGTTCTCTCGATTTTTCTCGCCATAATTCACATGTGGCCTGGTAACATGTGGTGATCAACTAAAATTCTCATTAAGCAGTGGCGGATTTAGGATTTCAATCTTCGAGGTCCTCAAAAAGATTTTAGACGAAAAATAGAATTGAGCGACGCTAGATGGCAGCTGAAGGCAACGGGCATGAGTGGTGACGACACGACAACAGGTACTGGGGTTTTGGGGTAAGGGTTGGGACTTGAAGTGTGCAAGTTTATAATGCATGACAGCCTCTGCTTGTGTAAGCCTTCTTTTTCAAGAGTTGAAAGCTTTCTATATTCTACAGGGTGAAAAGAGTTCTTTCTTTTATAACCAAAAAAAAAAAAAAATCTTTCTGAATTTTTCTCTATTAGATTTAGGTTATTTAAATAAATAAAAATGCCCACTTAGTGGGATTAATCCTTTTAGATTTTTATAGGAGTTTTTATCAATAATAGCCAAAATTTAACATTCAATTTCATAAATGTACATTTTATAAAATCTTTCAAATATAACAAAAAACTTACTTAAATAGACCTAAATACCCTCAAAATTAAAACCAAATAAAAATTAGTGGCAAAACTCTTACCCCACAACTATATATATGAGCAGCAACATTGCTGAACTTCCCAATCATTTTCATGTTTAAAAATTTAAAATTTTCTGCACATGGATTAATATTTTTAGCCCCATTGTCGAGAGAGAGCAGCATTTTCGCACACGCTCACTCCATTATTTAGTTTTGATTGGTTTGTGAGATCTGGTACAATTTTGAACTTGCTAATAGGGGTTGTAGATTAATTAGAATTGCGGGGAAGAGAAGCACGAATTTAATTGGAATGATCCTCTTGTGAAAACTGTTATGGTTTTAAATCCCTGTCATCCAACAAATTTAAGGAAAATTCATAAGCACGGTCGGATTGAAATTTGGTTTCAATGAGTTAGAATCCTCATCTAATATCACATCTGCAAAGATGATTGTACAAATAATATTTTGTTATGAGGATACTGTATCAATAGTAACGATTGAGTTTGAGTTTCAGACATGACCAACAAATTTTCAAGTTGGTACTCAATTAGTTTACAGTTGGACAACACCCGCAACTGCTCCACGACATTTACCAACTGTCCTCGTGGCCTCGCACTTTGAACAATGATGTAGAGGAGATCTATTCAAGTGCTTTGGCTTTTTTGTGTAAATAAGTTTTGGGATTTTGAGGGTATTTAGGTCTATTTACATGAGTTTTTTGTTATATTTGAAAGTTTTTATAAAATGTGACATTTATGAAATAAGGTGCCAAATTTTGGCTATTATTGATAAATACTCTTTTTATAGGGTAAATGAGTCCACGTGATGTAAAAAATCCCTATATCCAAAACGCTAGTTTCATTTAACATTAATTAGTAAAAGCAAGAAACGATGACATAAAGGGGGAAATAGAAAGGATTCAAACGTTTTTTCTTTGTGATCACACAACTGCACGCCTCCTCCATGGATGTACTCAAACTTCAACTAGGCTAAAACTGCTCCGAAAAGGAACCTTTGAACAAATCGCCTACACTCAACAACTCCCAACCACCACCACAACCTCCCAGACAATCGGAGGGTCCCAAATATCCTCACAGGCGTTTCTCCCGGACTCTGAAGGGTCTCAGGTCCGTATGTGGATCCACCTATGCATGTAAGTGCCACGTCGCCAAGCATGCGCTTATCTATGCCTACTTTAAAAAGGACATGTTCATACTACGTCTATTTAACGAAAATGACAAAAATGAGGTGAACTGCGACTAAATGAGACAAAAATGACTGTTTCAAGAGCACGACAAAATAAGTTTCAAGAGATAAATGAGACTAAATGGCAGTTTCGGGGGCAAATTAATTAATGATCCTTTACTTTATGTAAGCTAGCAAACATCTAGGACTCGCCAAATTTTGTAATCGCAATACGATGGATCGTTCGTGGTTCAATGGATAATTTTTTTTCTTTAAAATGATATTCTAAACACATTTAATTTTACCTAGAAATGGAATTAAACTTTTGAGTGCATGAGAGCGGGCGAACAATGTCTTTACAAACTGCAGGTCTAATTCACAGTTGAGTGCATGAGTGCGGGAACATTGTCTTTGCACACTGGTCTAATTAACATCTGTCATACTGATTATTCGGCAAAGGAAAAGCACCTTAACTTGAAAATCACTTTCCGGTAGTTAATAAGCAACTCGATGTCGAACTCGTCGAAACCTACTGGACTTAGGATACAACACAAGGATACTTGAATATCGACGATCGGCACCTCGAAAATCACCTTATTTTCAAGGTCAGAAGACTCAACCGAGACAAGTAAATTGCAACTGCACTTCTACAAGATATGAGCAACAAATTTGTTTTGGTTTAAACATGCACAGAACTCGTCCAGTTGAAGTAAAAAGAACGAGAGCGATTTACACAAGCAACTGAAAGCAGCTCGCCGGAACTGTCTGATACGGAGGATAATCAAGTGCTGATAAAGCTAGTTTCGGAGGCAGAGCCACGGGGCAACCGATGTAAGACGCTGGTTGGTGAGGAATTGGAGTTGGAAGAGGACCGCAGGGCCTCTGCAAGTGGTCCTCCCATGGACGCCATTTGGTTTGTTGCCCACCCAGCGGGCCAATTTAACTGTGGCTGCCCTCGCTCGGCATGGCTGTCCTGGTGGCCTGGCTCGACCCCATTGCCAGTAGACAATTTCAACGACACATCCGATGAGGTATTTCCACGTATCGAAATGGAGAGGCTGGTGGCCGAGTTCATTGAGATAGGTCTGCTTCCTGCATTGTCGAGTTCTTGGAGCTTCCCCGGCCAGTCATCAAAAAAAGGCCTCAAGACATGGCTGTCGGATTTGGCACTCGCAGAGAACTCACCGCGGGACTCGAAGAGGCTCCTGTTCTCAGGTTTGGACTCTGAAGAACTACAAGTTGACATGAAACAGTAGCAATTAAGAGCAAGAAATCGAACTTGAAAAAAAAAAGGTTAAAGGAGCATATCAATAGAGCATCATGTACTTTTAAGGCCCGTGAGATTCCTTCCATCAATTCAAAGTTTTGTCTCCAATCATAACACCAACAACAAAAGAAAAAGTTTGGGGGGGCAGAATAAAATATTTCACCTAAATTAAGTAAGTCTAGCATTCTATAATTAAACTGCCTACTTATCTCGACAAAGTTAGCGATAAACACTTAAAAGAAACACACTAAGAGCGTGTTTACACGTATCCGTAATTGGAATGGTCGTACCCAGTGCACAAGGCTCCCGCTTTACGCAGGGTCTGGGAGAGGTGAATGTCAGCTAGCCTTATCCGTAATTGGAATGAAAATGTAAAATTGAATTCCGATTACGAAATACTCTGATATTTACTAAACATTGAGAAATCAAAAAGTAGTGGGGCCATAGAAATTTTGGAATTCAATTCCTTGTATTGGTGGAATTGGATTCCTTAGATATAGATGGTAATCCAATTCATGATTGCTTAGGCAATCGAAATGACACTTTTGTTCCCTTTATGTCCTCACTCACTTTTTTTATTTCCAAGACTATCATTTATAAACTCATTAACCCTAGTTTAATTATGCACAATTCTTTACTTTTTTTATTTCCATGCTCATTCACATTATACACAATTCCATGCTCATTCACATTATGCATAACTCTATGCATATGCCGAAGAGAAGAAACTACAACTTGAGCGATAAAATTTAAATATTAAAGTAAATACTTAAATTTATAAAAATAAATAAAAATAAACAAAAACATTTTAGTGTGTTTATGAAATAAAAAAAGCAATTTAATTTTTTTCTTACTATTATATATTATATCAAATTTTATTAAAAAAAAGTATATAAAATATTTGATTTGAGACAAGGGCATTTTAGTAATCATATTAGTTTATATTTTGATTCTGCTGAATTAGTACACAGTTTTATGAAATTAGTGTCATTTCTATTCCAATTCCAAAACATTTAAACAAACAGCTTCAACAAGAATCCGATTCTGACTTCTCCTCATTCCAACTCCTCCTTAATTCAATTCCTTATATTTTCATTACGGTTACGTAAACGAACCATAAAAGAAACAAAACCCGCCCTACAATAAAAAATAAGTACTTTTTCTTGTGAGTGTTTGATTCGTTAAGTGTTTTGCACTAACATTAGCCGTTGTTACTTGTCGGGACTATATTAATTGAAATTGAAAAGTGATAACGGATAGTTTTAGTAGCATTCTTTAGTTTAAATTAAATTAAACCCAAAAAATAGTATTGGTGGTTGTTTACTACCTTTGGTTGAGATGAAGCAGATCAACTGAAGGGGATGATGAGGACCCAGAGAGAGCGAAATGCGCCCCACTAGCTGATGTATTGGTGGTGGTGGTAGCAATACTAAGATTACTGCCACTCCCTCCGCCACAAGCGGTGGTCGTCGTCGTGGTTGTGGTTGTCACTTCCACAGGCTTTCTTGAACGGTTTCTGCCACGGTGCACATGGCGCTCACAGTACTTCTGACCCGCCACCACATCTCTCGAGCACCGCCATTTCTTACCATCTGTCCTCCTGCACCTCGTCGGTTCCGGATCCATGGCAGTTCTTCCCCAATACCCTGATTGCAACACTGATAGATAATACACATTATGATTCAAGTCTCAAAAAACCTGGCCGTAGCCAAGTTGACTGGAGCAGGAGCAGGTTATGTACCTAAGTTCAAATCGCCCTCCTCTCAGTTTATTAGATTAAATTAGAATATAACTCCACTAAAATTAAAAAAATAAAAACTCACAAAAGTCTGAATTTTTTTTTTTTTTTTTTTTTTTTTGTTCTTCCCAATCCAACCAAATGGCCATTGTTTTCTTAAAAAAAGAAAAAAAAACAATATTCTAAACAACTCCAATTTAAAAAAATAAAAAAGGTTTCGAAGTGGAAAGATACGAACACACTAGCCTAACCAAGGTCTGCAAATCAAATTGGCATTTTAAATAGATTATCATTTGTGAAAAATCTTAATAACGAAATTTGGTTTGATTAAATAGTTTAAGTTATACTTACAAGCAGGTTGAAAGTGAGGGAGCTGTTGGAGAGGGTGGTGGAGAAAATAAGGAGCAGAACCGAGGAGGCTTTTCCTGATTGGCTGAAGAAGCTCAGAAGGAACAGCCGCACCGGCCGCCATGTACCTGAATATCAAAGCCTGCAGCTCCAGCTCCTGCCACTGTGACAAGCTGAAATAGCTTCCCATTTCTACAGAAAAATAAAAAACAAGAGTTCAAATTAAAAGATAAGAGCTTTTAAAAAGTTAAAAATAAAACTTGGAAAATTAGAAGAAAAAAAAAGTCCAGTCAAGAACATCAACTTTTCTCTCCAAAGAATCAAACTTTTTCTTGTGTGTTGGATGTATGTGTGTGTGTGTGACAGAAGAAAGAAAAGCGAAAGAGGAAAAAATCTTACTGGGAAATCTGGAGGTGGCAGGTGAGGAATCAGAAAATGCTGACAGCATTTTGGTGTTGGGTTCAGATACAAACAGAGGGAGAGCATACCCAGCAGCAGACCCAGCAGTTGGATGCTCTGAGTTTTGATGGGGATCAAGGTCAAGTTTTGGTATCTTTGCAGAATGTTGTTCCTCTGACTGCTCCTGCTGCTGGGGTTTCCATTGCTTAAGGTAGAAGTCCATCTAGAGAGAGAGAGAGAGAGAGAGATGGGTGGGGTTTAAGTTTAAGTTTGTTTTTCTCCTGTGATTTAGTTGTTGTTGGGTTTAATGTGTTGGTTTGTTGGGTGTGGAAATTGGGTTTTTTTGAAGTGAGAGAAAGCTTTTGGCAGAGGTTCTGACAGCAAAAGCCTGCAAGTTTGTTTGAAGGGCAGTGAAGAAGCCTGAGGCACTTGAGGAAAGAGACAAGACAATTGAGAGGTAAAATAATTAAAATAATCCAAAAAAGAGTTTTAAAATTAATTACAAATTGGAAGAAAATAGATAGCTAGAGTCAGTGAGTAGTAGTGACTAGAGAGAAAGAGAGGAAGAACACCTGCAGTCTTTCTGTCTCACTGCAAATGCTTCGGAAATAGCAGAAGGGTGTTTTATTAGGCTTGATTTCTTTTCCATTAATCTAATTAAGCTAGGTAATACATAACACAAGACCCAAGATCCATTTGCATGGTATAATTAGAGAGAGAGAGTTGCAGTGGCATTTGCTGCCGAGCTCAGCCTTTATCACTCGGCCTTCAAAGTTCATATTCTTTTATTTACAGTGCAAGTACTGTAAAAAGCATTCTTCTAATTTTTCTTCCATAGTTGTAAATTACGAGAACGTTTGGCAAAATACAATTTTATGAAATCGAAAGGGAAAGATTGTTTAAAAAGTAGGACTATTAAGTAAGCTGAACCATCGATGAATTTACTTAAGTATGTATTCTCAAAATATTTATACATTTCGAATGTTGTTGCCATCACCACCATTATCGTTCCCACTGTCACCCCTAATAGCACTGCAATAATCACCATTACCGCTGCAACTACTGCTACCTTACACCCTAACACCACATCCGCACCATTGTTGTTGCCATCATGTACCATTACACCTGCCACTGATGTCGTAGCCACTACTCATGCTACTTTGTTCATTTTTACCATTATATCCAAGTATATCATTTTCTCATTAAGAATATTATCAAAAGCTTTTACACTGTTTTTTATGCTCACAACACTTTTAATAATACAATTTATTAAAACTTTCAATTCTTTATTTTACAATTGATTATTCTTAAAGTACAATAGAAGTAGTTTGATTAAAAAAAACACAACAATTCTAAACTGGGTCTAAGTAAGTTGACCTATCGGTGAATTTATCAAGTATTGTCAAAACATTTAAATGCCTTATCTAAGAAATATAACTTTTTTTTTCAAAAAAAAAAATAAATAGAAATATAACATATGAATAGTATTACAGTCGGTTGATATTTGTCTTGTTTTAAAATTATAAGTAAAAATTTGCACTTTATATGTTTGTAAGTGGTATGATCTATATTTAATTATAGTTTACTTATTATGTAAATTAGCTACCAACTCATAATCCTTTTAGGGTAATGCTAGGGAGATCAAATTTGAAAATTAAATAATGTGTCACCAATAAAAATAAGCAAGTTTATCAACGTGTAAGTAATAAATAAATCATCAACTTTCATGTCATTTAGTTTTCAAAATTTTATCTATAAATTTAATTTTCAAAATTTTATCTATAAATTTAATTTTCCTAGCATTACTCATCATTTTATAAACTCTTTTTTAACTAATGAAATTAAATACTCATACATTTCCTTTTTTTTTTGTTACAATTGGCCCACGTGGGGAGGGAAATTAAAAATTCCGCATGTAATCATTTTATATTATTCTCTATAACATTTGTCCTTTTTCTATAAATTTTAGATTCTATATTTATTGCTTTTAACACATGAAGAGATGAGAGATCTCAATTATTCAAAAGGAAGAACTACTACAATTTTGTCCTTTCGTTTAAGACCATTTGAACATATTTAATAGCATGCATGCATGTTCAAATCTATGCGAAAAAAAAATTAAATAAAAAAGGTATCTCACTACACAAGCAGACTATCTTCTTACTCATATAGCCACGATAACGCATGAAGGGGTATCGTATCTCTGACTTCTAAGTCAAATAGTATGCCAAAGAAGAGCATGCGACCTCAAAATTTGCTTCCATGAGAGTTTGAAGTCATTTATCACTATGATAACGTGAAACGGTAGCATATTTCTGGCTTCTGAGTCACCTAGGCTTAATCCGTAGGACTTGGATTGTCTACCCTTCTCATGCCCTTCTATATTTTGTGGTCAATTCAAGTCATGTCAATATTTTATATTGATTTTTTTATAAAAATAATAAGACAAAAAACAATGGGAATATAAAATATTGACGTGACTTAACCGTGACCACAGAAATACGAGGGCATGGGAAGACCCGGCAATTTCGGACACAACACAAAAACGACAAAAAAATAACGGGTATCGGGTCAACACGATAACTTATCGGGTTATTATCGGATGACCCGTTAATAGGGGTTCTTAACAGGTATACACGTGGGTAACACGTGGGTAACCTGTTTCGACCCGTTAAGAAAAAAATTATTTTGATAATTTTAAAGTTTAATTACTAAAAGATTTCTTATAAAATACAATAGCCATATTAATATATGAAAACTAATGAAAATGACTTGAAAACTTTGAGTTTTAATGATAAGGACAAAATAAAGGGTAAAGTGAATAGTACCATAATTGACTTTTTAGTGTAAAAATGTGGTTTTTAGTTAAAGTGAACAGTACCGCGGATTTTTCGTTAAAACTCCTTAATATATACAATATATTCTATATTAAATATATAGTTTTGTATTATTATTCTATATAAGTTTTTAAAAAAAAGTTTTAGTCATTATTTATTTTTATTATGAGAGTTCCTTATTATCACTACTAGGATAAATTTTACTTAACATGTTGTTGTCCAAAATTAAAATAAACTAATATAGTATTTGTATAGGCAAGAACTAAGAAGACATACATACAAGTATGAAAAATGTGAAAGAATATATAAACATTCATGATTTACACTTACATTATCGTTTAGATTTTTAAAATCCTCCAAACCTTCATGAAAATAAAATTAATAATAATTATTGTAGAAATGTAAAAAATGTAAAAAAAAATATATATACAATCACTCATAGTGACAAACTTTACAACTTTCATGAAGGGGTCAATTTCGAAATCTAACACTATAATTCATAAACCTTACATTTATATTTAAACATTGATTGTCATTTACGCTTTATTCTTCTTACTGAATTTCATTTTTTAAATTTTCATTTTTTAAATTTTCCTTTTTGAAAACATGATCATATGGCGGATGTAAGAAAATGAATGGTTCAGATCTTTGATATCACGTTTCAATATTTACGGTTAACTGAAATATGAGTCGATGTCATATAGTTTGTAGAAACTTTATGAACATCAAGCAATATTTTCACTAACCGTAACTCTCTGAATATAATATCAACGATCCAAACCGTTCATCTTCCTGCATCCTCTAATAGATCAAGTTTTCAAAAAACAAAATTTGAAAAAACAAAATTTGATGAGAACAATGAAGCGTAAATGTAAACAACAATCAACGATTAAATTTTGATCTATGATTTATATGATTATAGTGGCGAATTTCGAAGTTAAGCTCTTCATGAAAGTTGTAAAATTTGTCATTACGAGCGTTTATATATTTTTTTCTATATTTTTTACACTTCTACATTAATTAAAAAACTATTAAAGACTTTAGGTAAGTTAAAATATACTTAAAAGAAAAATGTGTTTTATGTTTTGGATGTGACAATATGATATGTATATAATTATTTAGTATTATGTTTTTCATTTGATTATTTATTGGCTTAAAATATATTTTCCTTAACAGGTAACAGGTCGGATCATATTACCTGTTAATATTATCGGGTTGATTTTGAGTCGGATCATTTTATCCGTTTATTTTAACACGTGTTACACGACATGACCCGTTAAGATATCGAGTATGACATGAAAACGATACGAACACGAAAAACACGACACAAATGCCAAATCTAATGGAGGGTATAGAATGGAAATGGCATACAATCCAAGTCCCAATCCGTAAAGTATTTTATGTAAGACAATCAGTTAAAAGTTAAAAGAAGTAAACAAGAGGGAGCAAGCAAGCAAAAAGAAGTAGAACTAGAAAGTGGTGGGTAGGGGGCATTCGCATGCCCTTTTACCCAACCAAAGCAGGAAGCAGCTGTCTTCCTCCTCCTCTTCCTCCTCTTCCTCCTCGTCCTTTCTTTTTGTTCTTTTTTCTGTGTTACGCAGTGATGCGTTGGATTGATTTGACCAACTACTATTTACAGCAATGTCGACATGACAACTCAATTCCAACACAAACACCATTGACACCTACTCTCCTACTCCTAGTGTACTACTAGTCCTTTGACAAAACTTTCCACTTGCCCAATGCATGCGTTGTATTCCAGCCTACCAACTCGGTCTTCGTTTTGGACCAGGATTTTCTCCTGAGGTAAAGATGAGGATCCTCCTCATCAAGGAATGTGGATTGTTGAATGAAAATCTAACGGGTACAATTATTATAACTTTAAAGAGATTCTCTTGTTTGTAGTTGTTGGATTTTCATCCAACGATCCACATTCATTGACGAGGAGGATCCTCATCCTTAGCTCAGGAGAGGATCCTGGTCCCTTCGTTTTGACAAATTCTCTCTTTCAAAGCGACGAGAAATACTGAGAAAACTTTTAAAAAGTAAGAATCTCTGTATGCTCTCAGTTGCTTTACAATTTATTGTTAATTTTCGTACTAATATTATAAAATAATTTACAAAAACACATGAGATGCCACAGAATTTGTAGAGAAACATACTTTTAAAAGAATATATTTAACATTTCTCTTTAGTGACATTATCTTACTAATAAAACATTTGTCATGCATTTAAAGGTATATTACTTATCTAACTTGTTACATATAATGTATTTAGTTATAAGTTAATCTTCGGTTATGTAAGGCCAAACATAGCCCTTACCTAACATTGGTATCTTAAGAAAATGTCATAGTTTATTTTGTTTGGGATGCACATATTGGAGCTTGTCAAGGGGTTTTAGGGATTGCTATGTACCCAATCCTTAGCTAAGTTCATTCATTATTTTTTTTAGCAGATTCATCTTGGTTCTTGTCTGAAAACGAATTCTGCTCAAATTCAAGCTAAAAATGACATATAGCCCTTGACTAGAGATAACCTAAGCGAGTTATTTCTTTCACTTCCTCCACCAAATTTTACATCTATGCTCCAAGAAATTTAGACGTTGTATTTTGATCTCTGATCTTTCAATTTCGTTTTGGACTTCCGCAAACTTATAATTTTGGCACACTACATTTTAGCTGGGAGAAAAAACCATGATCCCATGTCTTTTTTCTGTTTTCTGTTATTCAAACTTCATAGAGCTCAGAGGCTTTGCCTGCTCTACAGTATCTTTACAACTTTTACAACTAAACCAAACTCGTATACAGTTAACTATGTATATACTTGCATGGGGATTATCTTCTCCTTTTCTTTTTTTTTCCCGCTCCCTCCTCCTATCACAGTTTTTTTTTTTCTTTCTTTCTTCCTCTACAGAAATAAAATCGTAAGCGTTTAAACAAAAAAAAGAAAAAAAGGAATCTTTCTCCGTATATTTGTACCAACGACTGAATGTCAAGTTCTCTCTGTCAGATATAAAACTTAGATCGAGCTGACTACTCTCAGGCTTTCGGTAACTAGTTTCAC